TAAAGAGCGGTGCAAAGCATTACCCTTAGGAATGAGAAATCAGAATCCCAGATGCAAGCTGGATCAGACAGTCACACTGCTGAAGAAAGTGACACACCAGTTTATTTCATCAGGGAATCAAAAGGCAGGTGGGGTGTTACAGTGCTGATTCTGCACCTCTCTGGTTTGGGACTGCACTATGCTGGGGAGTTTGCCTGCAGAAAAAGGGGGATGAAATGAAGAGGTTCTGGAGATGATGAACAGGATTGAGGAGAAGAAGGACATTACCTCGTTCCCAGCCTAGTCAGCTCCAAGGTTCACAACTCTCCTCCAAATCAGCCCAAGTGCAGAGTCACATTGATGCCATGACATTGTTTTCAATTACAAAACTACCTCTCCCTGCTCCTTGGTTTACCCTCTTCCCCATTTCCTGAAGAGCACAGCTCTGCAGCCTTGAGTATCAGCCACAGGATCATCTAAGTATGCCAGGCTGTTAGAGAACCTGTCATACTCAGCTGGAACTGACCTGGGCACAAGGGTGAGGGATGGCAGATACTATGTACCCCTTTCCAAGCCTGTATTTCCAGGAATAGATCCTTCTGGCTCTCTTTTCTTGATTTATCATCAGACACTTTCCTGTTCTTAGGTCAAGATAAAAGGAGACTAAGGATGGAGCAAATATGATAAGATAAAGGCAAAAAGATTAGTGAGGGCTGAGCTGGTGGAGCTTTGGAAACAAAAGTGCAGAATTTTGAGATTGTCACAAAAGATTAAAGAATTCACAGAAAGGGAGGGAAGGGTTTGTGTATGCAATGATGTCAGTAGAGAGAAAGCCTAGCAAATAAAGTGTTATCTTCCAGAAAGCTTGGTTTACCTTGGCCTGAGTCACAACTGCTGTGGAGGCAAACATTAAGCTTTGATCACAGCTGCCATAATCTTCCCCTGACACCCAATAATGAAAGCAACAGAAACAGGCTGAAGCATGGCAGCTGTCTGCCTGAGATGAAATTGCATTTGAAAAGGAAAACAAAAAGGCAAAGTCCTGCTGAAGGTGGAAACAAGAGGTGACAGAACAGGGCCTTTTTGAGAAGGCAACTGGCTGGAATGGACTGTGATTTTTTTTCTCGTGTAGATAATATCAGTGTCAGTGCAGGGGTGATGAGCCATCCACTGTCAGCAGAAGCCCTGTTTTGGTGGTTTTCTTTACTGGCAAACAGGTGAAACAGTTCCTGCCCTAAAAATTTACCTGTTTCTTTCAGGAAAATGCCTGACAAGTGTTGGAATAAGAAGAAGGTTAATTAGAGGCGGAAAATTCTGGGGAAAACATCACTTGGTGGCAGAGGCTGACCATGTTCAGGAATTCACTGAATGTAATTTCTGGGAAATTGCTGCTCCAAAGTTACTTTAAATTGGAGGCTCACATCCTGTGGGTTAATCTCACAGGATGGTGGTACAGCAATTGATCCCTGCTTCCCCATCCAGAGACACAAATACAATTCCCTTGTTACATCTGCTACTGTTCTCCCAGCAGCCCTTCTGGCCCTTGGGCTCAGGACTTTTCTCCTGATCAGTTTTCTTACAAGCCCACTGATGCAATGCACCTCTGTCTCATCTAAGCCCAAGAGAGTCCAGCTTCCGATGATTTTCAGATCAAGGAATTTCATCCAGTGCTGGTCCAGCCAGGTCTCTACATGAGAAAATGGGAATGAGAGCAGCACATCATGAGTGCCCACATTCCATGGGTGTTCCACTTCACCAGCACTACAAACAAGGGATTTTGTGAAGCAGGCAGCGATCTGGACTAACAGGTTTTGTGTACAACTCACAGAAATCTTCCTTCAGAAGAGGATGGTTTTCACAGAGGATCCACTGATAACAGATTTTGTGAAGCATAATATAAAGATGTGAAGATAAAATGGGGAGGAGTAGAAAAGGAGCAGGACACTCCCAGAATCCATCTCAAACTCTGATACAGACATTTCTGTGTTGAGGACTGCAAAAAGAGAGAGATCACACCAACCTGCAGTCTTACACACTCACATAGAGGATTTGGCTTATGGAATAATTGCTTCCAAATGAACACCTCAAGTTGAATACAGTCCTTCTAAAGGACTTGCCATGGAATTATGGCTTTTAAATTGACCATTTCACCTCTGTCAACAACAATGATTCTTGAGGGGAGGGGTGTTCTTGTTAAGGGATGCACAGAGCTGAATGTAAGAATTCCAATCCTAATTTGTCTGAGGCAGACAAGATTTGTTTCAGTGAGAGCATTAAGCATCCTGCAGCTTGATATTAACTGATAGACTCTTGCTTACTCTTGGCAGTTCCTCTTGCAAATACATCACTGTTACTTCCGCTTCCATGCCCACCCCTCCACTTGGTTCCTTCTCAATTTTACAGCTTCCTGAGCTTGACACTGGGAAATCGATAAGTAATTTAGAGCCCAGTAAATACAGATGAAAAGAGGTTATTTTGTACTTTTATAAATATTTGGAAACCAAAACTATCTAAGAAAACAGCTGCTCAATTGACTCAGCAACCCATCCATCAGCATCACACAGTTAATTGCATAAGATCATAAACATTTATAATTAGAAAGCAAACAAACAAGAATTTTATAAACAGCCCTCTTGAATCAGGCTGCGCATTAAATATTTGTGATAAGGTAATTAAGAATAGATTTACAGTCGTGGCTCGGTGTTTAATACTTTGTAGAATGGATTTGATTCTATGGAGAATGTTCTACAGCCAAAGAGAAAACATTTGATTTTGGCTCTTTTATCCCAGGCTTAAAGTGGTCTCTGAGAAACACTGATCAGAGTGGAATTTCATTCATTACCGATCAGACAGCTCATTTAAATGTATGTCTAATGTCCCTTGTCATGGGCTGATCCACTTCAGGCATGCTTCAAAGCTCTGTCTCCTTGGCTGGATCTGCAGGCTTTCCCTAAGTCCTGCTTTTTATGGATGATGCTTTGATCAGAGCACGTCAGAATTCTCAACCGTGTTTCAAAGCAGGAAGGAAAACCCACATTTTCTATTATGACATCACGGGGTTTGGTTATAAAAAGCCAGCAGCACTGCAGGGTTACAGCTGTGCAATCTCAGTGGCCTGTGGGAACCAGAGGGTAGAGTTCTCTCAGACTGTAGTGCCCTACACCATTCCCTGTCCCAAAATAGTCAGATCTGCATACAAGCAACCCAATGGAGTTACTTCTCCAGCCAGTGAGCAGGCTCAGCACCCCATTTCAATGAATGTCAGTCCCCCTGAAGCTAATCTGGGATCAAGTCAGCAGGGCTCCTAGTTATGCTTAGAACCAGGGAGGCTGGAAACTCAGTCTGTACTGAGGCAGTGCTTTAAACTCTCTGACATCAGATCTGATCTAAGAAACCAAGTGGCTGCATCCTATCAGTGAATAATGGAGAGATGAGCCCTAAGGGTAAGATGACCTTCAGGTATTTTGGGGTCTGATGTGGCACAGGTTGTCTCCAGTAATTATTTGTCATCAGAAGCTAGAACTATCTGGAAAAGGTAGGTGGTGGGTAAAACTGTAGCATTTGATTAATCAGGAATAGCTGTAAACCACTTTATTCTGGGGTGCCCATCATCTCTCTACACGTTGTTGGTCAAGTCAGCCCCTTTGTTTAGGCATGGGTTTGATTCTTGTGAGTCTTGTTCTTGTATTTTTATGCTTGCAACAGGAAGGCAAGAGAGCTATTCTTCTTAGAAGGGGTTTTGATAATCTTGATCCTGACCCAGAATGGTGAAACCTTCATCGTTAAGGACAATGAAGCCACCCATGTGCTAACACACCCAGTCCTGCCTCCTGGTCTGGCTTCAGTTACATGGGACACAAAGGCACTTCCCTTAAGAGTCAGATGGCTGCAAAGCAGGGACACTCAGTCTCCCCTCATTCCACATAAATCCCATTCTCTAGCAAAGCTTGTGAGGTATATTACGGTGTGCCAGCTAAGCCAGTCTACAGGAGATGTTGCAGCTTCCTCCAGCATCAGTGGAGAAGACCTGTGTGGCAGCCACTGCTAAACCTAGTACTGCCACAGGGTCTAGCCAGGGTCTGGCAACTTCAATAATAATAGCAGAGCTTTATACTCAAGTTCTGTCATCATCGAAGCAACTGAAATGATTTAATTCCTTAGTCCTCATGCATGGGTTGGGAGGATGATGGAGACAGCTGGGAAATGAGATAACTGCAGGGCTACTGAGGGGCCTGAGCTGCTCCTTCTCTTATGAACAGAGACCATTAGCAGTGCCATGTCCTACAGCCCAGAGCCGTCCCCAGACATCAGCCCTGTGCCTGCAGGTGGGCAGCAGGACACAGGCACTGTCTGTCTGAATGCTCTGCACACACTGGGAGCTTCTCTGCCCTTTCTGTCAAGCGTGCTGAGCTCCCCCTTGAAAAGAGGCAGTGACATTCGATGAGGTACCTGCTCTGCAAATGAGCAAAACTTTGCCTTGGATAACAAACCACTTACAGGTATAGACAGACCTCTTTTTCTGCTTAGTTTCTGCCTCTGGCCTCCACATGAGTGTCTGCTCTGCTGCTGTGTGTGTGGGGAGAGACAGGGGCTGTGCACACACACGGCGCTGTGCAGCAGCCGTCAGTGACACGTCAGCTGCAGTTACACCCCCTCCAAACACACGCCTGAGCCTGGTGAATCATGCCTATGCAGCATGCAAAATTAGCCCAGTGAGAGATAAACCTTGGGCATTTGTTGGTAAACAGATACTCTTTTGCTGTAAGAGCATAACTCATTGTGCTCCATTTACGATCCGTTTATCGATGGCTGAGATAAAACCGTAATCCCTTTAATTCAGGGGGAAAAGGGATCCACCAGTGCTCTGCCTGTCGGTAATTAAAATACAGGATTTATCATCGAGAAAGTACTGGCTGGAGAGCTGAGCTTAACCAGCTAACTGGGGGAGAATGCTGGGGAAAGTTTATGGTTCTTTCTGAAGTTTTGTGGTTTATGTCTGTTTCTTTCCCCCTTCCCTCCAGGTCTAATAATACACGAAGGGCCCTCGGTTTACCGGATTTTTAAACGGTGGCAGGCGGTCAATCAGCAGTGGAAAGTGCTGAACTATGACAAAACAAAGGACATGGAGGAGCAAAAAACAGGGACCAGGACAAATCAGCGCCCCTCCTCCCAAACCACCCACTCGTCCTCCACTGGTGGTACAGCCACTAACTCCGCTCCAGCCGACAGCGGGGCACGGGCTGCCGGCCATGCCACAGGCACCCTCTCTGACCACCACTGTGCTTATACCATCCTGCATATACTCAGCCACCTGAGGCCTCACGAACAGAGGAGTCAGTCTAGTAGTAACAGAGAGCTCGTCATGAGGGTCACGACGGTCTGAGCAGAGGAATTCAGGAGGCCTTAACACGAAGCGGAGGAGACAAAGAACTCATAAAGCAGAGGAGCATGGTGTGCCTTTTTCTTTCTCTTTCCTTTTCTTTTTTCTTTTTTTTTCTTCTCTTCTTTTCTTTTTTCAGTAACTGCACAAGATATAAGAGGCGGCACCTGGCCAGCTAAGGAAAAAAGCAGGTGGAGGGAGAGCTGCACACTCATGCTAAAGAGGTTAATGTTTTCCAGCCTGTTTAAAAAAAAAAAAAAAAAAAAAAAAAAAAAGAAAAAAATAACAACACAAATCACAAAAAAACCAACAAAACAAGTGCAATACAGACTACAAACTGAGTAGGCAGAGTTCTGGGGAAGCAGAGGAACAGACGGTTTAGCATGTCTTACAAATCCTATTACCTGGAATAGGTAACGCTCTGTGCACAGCCCCCGTACACACACGCACGCGCACACAAACACACACGTAGTGTGAGATCTGTAAAAACATGGAAGGGAACAAAATATTTGGAGTGTTTTTATTTCCCAGACTCCAATTAACCAGGGCTATGAGTTGTTTTGTTTCATGAGTCACTGGAGCCTTGTTTGATTTACCGTGGGGTACCTGAAGTGAAATGGCTGGGGATTTTTCAGTATTGATTTACAGAAGACAGATTAAATCATCTCACTAAGAAAATCTTAACAAAATCCAGGCATACCCAAATTTCACCAAGAAGCCTGTTTTTTCATAATGTTCCTGACAAGGGGTTTGTGAGGGTAGAACTGGGAGGGGGGAGGGTGCTCCATAACCTTTATTTGACGTATAGGCATTTTTGGCAAATTTTGTACAAACGTTCCGCAGGTGTTTCAAGCACAAGTACTGGTGTGATTCATGCCTCCATAACCCCAAATCCAGCATCCAGACCTTGCCACCCACACACATCATTTTCCATGCAGACATTCCAGGTTAATTTCCTTCCATTTTACTCCAATCACAAGAAGCTGACCCATCTTTGGTGGGTTTCTGCTCCCTTGCTGATTCAGACACTCATGCATTAGAGATGTACTTTTTTTTTTTTTGGTGTCTGTATCTCTGCTGCTCAATTTGCAACAGTCTCACTCAGTCTTGTAGGCTGATCCTTTCACATCCAGTCTGTTAGTTTATTACAGAGTCTATTCCATTCAATCATCCAAAAGAGAGTTAGTCTGAAGAGGGAGCACAGTTGCTGACTGACTGTGTAGCACTTCTAATAAGTCTCCTTCTCTGGGGTATATCCTCGAAGGTATCGGTTGCTCTTCAGGAACATTCTCTTTCAATGCACAATGGCTGAATCATTTGTGGATATTAAAGGGACACTGTCAAGTACTTTTTAAATAGTTTTTAGGGTTTGGGCTTTTTTTACTCTCCATTGTTTGTAATATTCTCTTACAAGCTTGAAAATAAAATTTCTTTCCCTATGGATTTTGTCCTTTTCCATTTGGGCATGTATGGTTCTCTCCACTCACCCCATTCCTCTCACCATCCCTGTCCTTCTCCTCCCCACCTTTCTTCTGCAACAGGAGGAAATCCATATTTCTGATTTCCTGCTGACTGTCCTCATTCTATGGAGGGTATGTCCCAACTCTATGGGTTGAGTTCTTTTGCAGCTGCCACAGAGGAAGCATAAGAGCAGGAACCCTGGAAATATGGAGATTAGCTGGGATTTTGAGGAGCAAAAGCTCAGCTATCACAAAACAATGGCCCCATAGAGTTCAAACCTGAACCCAGCTCCCTCCGAAATCAAGACAATGTCTTCAGCCAAACTGTGTCCATTTGGCAGCAGTGCCAAGCAACGTTGCACGATGGCTGAATGCAGCTGCCCTCCATCATCATACCAGCACCTCTCGCACCTTCTGGGGAGACAGGGCAAACGTGGGCTACAGGCTCCTTTGGCAGCCAGGCTCTCACAGGTCAGGTGTTTCTGGAGTGGAGAAGGTGCCTCTGAGTTTGAACATGGCAGCCATCCTGCAGCATTGAAGATGGAAGTTAGCAGCTTGAGGCAAGGTCATGTTTTTCACCTCAATTACTTGACAGTGTCCCTTTAAATATCAGAATGCAACAGAACAGGTTCTCTGGCAGAGAATGTGGGAGGTGGAACACCATCTGAGAAAGCTTACTGAGGACCAGTGTGAAACAGCATGGTTTCTGAGGCCACTGTACCTTTGTCTGACCAGATTTACTATCTACCAAAGAGTGCTTTTGGCAGAGGGGAGAAGAGAGATGGTGGTGGGCAGAGGGAGAGGGAAGGGGCAGTTCCAATCATCTCTGAAAGTAGCTATCCCCCAGAAGGAAGGTGTTGCAATGAATGATCTCTGGAAGAACTGCTTCAGTAGAGAGAAACCTGGCCAAAGCAAGCAAACACAGCAGCCTCTCACCCCTATGCCTGTTCTGGAAGCTGTCCTCATTCCAAGAGATGAGTAATTATAGTGGTTTTGGGAAGGGGGAAGCCTACACAGAATGAAGGGACAGCTGTCACCCATGATGTCGTTTCCCTCCCTGCCCTCCACTCATTTAATATGGAGAAGTCAAATTCCTTTTATTTGGCTAACAGATAAAATGTTATGAGGTCAGAAGCACAACTTGCTGTGAAAGAGTGGTGTACTCTGAGCACACAGGACTCTGCATACTCTCACTCCAGCTCTGCCACTGACTCTGTAGCCTTGGGCTGTTTGGCTCAGTCCCCCCTCCACGCAAAGGGGGAATAAAAATACGTACCTACCTCACAGGGGTGTTGTGAGAATCCACGTTGGTAAAGCCTGTAGAAGTGCTAAGTCTACCACCGGTAGTCACGAGGTGTGTGGTGGGGGTGAGCAGCGCTGCCCTTTTGCTGGTTACAGTCTGAATCACAGCGGGAGTCCCATCGGCCTTCTCCTCCTTGGAGACCCTCCTCGATCGGAAGCGGAGGCTGTCGTCCGAGTGCCCTCTCCTCCATTGCATGACATTTTAAGCGGCTGTGAGGTGCAGGATAGTGACAGACATGAAGTCCTACTTGACCAGGGATTTGCTACAACGTTTTCTATATCTGTGGGGTTTGTTGGTTTGTTTTTTCCATATATTGTGCTTAGAAATAAACTTTCCACTTAGGGCTGGCGGTTTGGGGTCTATTCTGTTGCATGGCAATGTATACAAGTCTTATTGTCTGTCTTACTGTGCAAATGATCCCGCAGCCCAGTTTCAGAGATGGGCACGGTCTGAGCCTTTTCACAGCGGCATAAGACTCCAAAGCCTGTCTAGACTGTTTAATATTTAAACAACACTATGAACTTGTCAATTGTATGTGTTCTGTGCAATACGAAGCATGTCATTAGCTGGCTTGATGGGCAGAGGGGCTAAAGGAAGGTCAAAACTTGTTCAAAGAACTTCATACATGTGCCAGCATGGGAGCCGAAGGGCTGCCACCAACAAAGCAAACTCGGGGGAAGCCATTGGAAACTATTTTCAGAACAGTTTACTCCACAACAAGGTACTTCTGAGTTTACGAACTTCTAGGCTGCCAGCCTGAGAGAACAAGTGCAAATTTAGTGTGGGGGTTGGGGTTTTGAATTCCCTTTTCCTTTCCTCCTCAAAGTTTTGATGGCAGAAATACTGAGGATCTCTTCCTTCCATAGCACAGTTCTCTCATCTCCCACAATCTCCTTGTGCCGTCCCCTTTGTGCTACTATGCAGGACTTTCAAAGGTGCAAATGGAGACAGTACGCTCCCAAGACATGAAAAATAAGTTGAGTATTGGGTGATTCTAGCAGATAGATGAGACGGGGCAGAGCTATGCTACAGAGGCATCTCTTCTTCCCCATGTCTTTCTTTTAGTCTTGTCTGCTGGGTCCCTGAAGAGACGTTCCCTGTACTTTGTTGCAAAGCTGTCAGATCACCTTCCACTGACAAACAAAGCTTGCAGAGTATGGCAGCTGTTTCTCCCAATGGAGAAAATTCTGGGTCCTATCACTGTGGAGACCCCTCAGTTCTTGGGCTTTGTGGTCCTCCAGCATTGTTTGGGGGTGGTCAGTGTGGAGGACTGTGTTCAACCATCATCAGAAATCGTGTGCGTATGGTCCTGCTCGATCTTGTGATTTCTGCCAGTCCCCTGATTTTCTGTCAGCTTTGACAGGTCTTTCTGGTAATGCTTTTCTGGTTATGCTCTTCAGAGGTGTTTTGCTCTGTGTCAGTCGCCAATGCTGTTCTTGCCTACTGAAACATCAGTGCTGGCCTCCAGCTTCCACAGCTCTTCCATTCTTGCCATCCTGTCTCTTGGTAAATACTCACTGCCAAGTTCAAACCCTCTTCCTCTGTGCCTGCAAGAGGTCAGGCACATGCACTAACCCAAGGGTCACCAGAGAACACAGGGAATGTTAAGAGTCTGTATCAATATTTCAAACTCTATAACCATCAGTCTTTGATATATATTTACTTTGCCAATCCCAGTGCCTGCTGTTAATTGGTTGCTACAAATGCTGGCAAAACCCATATACCCAGCTAACACTTCATTTCCAATTTAAAATGTAAAAAGCTATGGGCTGTTTTTCAAACAAATCCGGTGTGTTCCCTGTTTGCGTGGTTTCCCAAGCAAGGTGATGAAGAGGTTCATGTTTTACTTTCCCATGATGGAATGGGCAACCCAAGGAAAGAGAAAGTCAGCAGCTTAGATTTGAGTCAAGAGAAGTGTCGGCTGTCCTGTTTTCACTCAGGGAGACAGGAAAATACTATTCATGCCTGCTAGATCCCTGGCCCTTCTCAAAGCCCTTGATATGGCATGAGTAATACTAGAGCCAATGGCTGTAGCTGGAGGACCATTCTGAAGACTTTCCAGTTCTGAAGACCATCCTCTGTCCACTTCTAGTGGTCAGTCATTCTTTGTTTTCCTTGAGAGAAAAATATTATTTTGACTAAGCAAAGCACTAATGCTCTTCAGTGTAGGATGAGGATGCACCATTAGCACTTCCAGCCTGTGGTACATCCACCAGGATTCCTGTCTGTCTTCTTGTGAGGATGCATGGTCAGAAGAGCTGCTGCTTCCTCTTTCTCTTTTATGTTGGTCAAGGAATTGGAGGAAAACATTCAGCAGTGCAATTGCCTTAGGAACTACTGGTTGAGAATCCTGATCTCCACCATCATCTCCCCTGTGACTGCTCCTTCTCATTCCTGAGGCAACAGATGCCTCATCCCCACTGCCATCCTTAGACTGGCTCTGAAGATCTCATGAGCAGACAAAATTCCTCCCAGAGTAATTTTTAAGTCTCCTACATCCTTACATTTCCAGACAGGAAAATTCACTCCATTGACAAACAATGACATTCGAATCCTGAGAGCACAAGCACGTGTAGCAGCCTATTGCATTGACCTTCACCATCTCTCACGTGCTGAAGGAAGTGTGCTGAAAACACCAATTGGTTTCCTCCATTTTGCAGCAATGGACCAGTGGCTCTAGGAATGTTTCCCTCAATAATGCAAGTCTGACATGCAGCAGTTACTGCAGGCAGTCTTTGATCTCACATCTATCATGTTGGATAAAAGGAGAGCAGAATCTGACAGTTCTCTGCTGTTTACACAAACATCAAAAACTATCTTAGTTCATTATTCAAATTACCTCCAGGTCAGTGGGTGAATTTCTCATTTGATGAAAGAATGATGTTTTCTCTTCCAGAACTGGAATTGCAAGATAATAGATATGTAAACATATACATATATATTTATAAATGTTATCCTGCAAACATAAAGAAAAGATAAAAACCTAAATAAACCTACAACAATACTTGATTTTTAATAGATCTTGTCAGAAGCCAGGGAGCTGCTGTGGGGAAAAAGCGATATAGGGTTTGACCAGGCAAAGAGAAGAAAGAAGAGGGAGATACTTTTATGGCACTTTTGGCCTATCTTTAGTTCATGCTCATTATTGTATAGCATTTAATTAAGACAGAAATATATGGAAAACAGACACTCAGCTCCAGCAGCAGGAAACAGGTTAAAGACCCCCAAAATTATCTGAGCCTCAAACAAGCACAATGATGCAAAAGCACAAACAGCTGTCATCACAACTGCTTGAAAAGAGATGGATGTCTAAACGGGACAAGAACTCACACAGAAATTATTTTCCAAGCCACATTTCCCATATTTCTTATTTTTAAAAGGAAAAAAAAAAGAGAAAATGAAAAAGGAGTGTTCTGATACCCAAGTCTTAAAGAAGTAACAGTGGAGAAGAGGTACTAAGAGAAGATGCTCCTTTCTATGTTATATTATGCATCAAGATGTGCTTTGCCAAACAGAATTAGGATATTACATTCAGTTCCCTGATCATTCAAAGAAAGTCTCAGTGACTGAGTCTGCTCAAGGAGACTTCCTAGTGTGTAGCCTTCACCAAAGTACCAGAGCTCCCATCTGGATGAGCTGGCATCAGGCTGTTTGCCTCCGGCCTCTCTCTTCTGTGGCAGGATCACCACCTGTTGTTAGCAAGTCACTGTTGGGCAGCTTTGATCAGCTGATATAGGTTATAATATTACTAATCACAAAAATTGCACATGCCCATCGTGCCCCTGCAAGTGACCGGTCTCATCCTTTCACAGCTCAAGCTGATGAGAGCTACTCTAGGCTTTGGTCTTCATCACAGGAGAGCTTTCCTTTAAAATCCAGCCTGCCACGCTTCTCTGGGAGTTTTTCTACTACACTTTATAAAGATCCTTTTTCCTATAAGGATTAACAGACTTCTAACTAACCCACCTGATCTATTTTCTAGCTAGAGAGACAAAAATTAATGTTCTCTGACCAGCTGATCTCAGTACCTCTGTTCTTACGAGATGATATTCCCTCTCCCCTTTCACTCACTACTCCATAATCTTCACTTTCCTTTGGAAAGGGGTGATTCACTGCTACCAAATGGCAGCAATCTCTCTGAGATGGGAGTCTGGACAGCCCTTCTACTCCTTGCTAACAGGCACACAGATCTTCCTCCTGCCCCTCTAGACTGATGTGGCCAGCAGAACCCTTTTTCGTGGAGTTTCACTTCTTGATCCAGAAGAGCAACTGTTTTCAAGCATCTCCTTCACTGCTATCAAGCTGTGGGATAATGGCACGGGGAATCTTTTGTTTCTTAGCCTCAGGGTAACTACAGTGGATGATGTACCTGAGCCAGAAACACAGTGAGGACAAAGAACTTGTACTTTGGATGGTGGTAAACCTGGGCGAGGCTTGTTCTGACCACAGAAGAGCAAGAATCTTTGTCAGCTTCATACGGTAGCAAATCAAAATGGCCTTGTTCCCTTGTGTTTTTAGCTCATTTACATCAGCTCTCCGTTACAAACAAACCCTTTTGCAGGCAATGCAGGCCAGGCCTGGGCAGGAAATCTTCCTCATTCCAGAAGCACAACCAGCCCGTAGCTATGCATCGATCCCTTCAGGACTTTTGCCCCCGAGAGGCTGAGCGCAAGAATGGAGGTAGCTAGCAGGGATGGCAACAACACTTCCCTGGATCTTCGTCCCCAGTGGGCAAATTTTGCATCTCTACATGTGAGTCCCCTTTGAAGTCACTCCTAAGGCCTCCTTCACTATTACAGGGTCTGCCCAGGAGAGGAAGCAGTGTCTCTGCATGGATCCCCCAGGTCTGCTGCTGGGATCCACAGAAATCACTACGTTCACTGTGGGTTGAGATGAGTCAGTGGTGTGTCCATGCAGAAATACTCTCTTTGAGACTACTACAGAGATGTCTGTGGGGTTGGGAGGGAGGGGGTGGTTTTGTCCAGGGCAGGAAGCACGGGGAAGGGAAGGCTGCAATGTAAGGAAAAATCAGCCACAAGGGAGGGGCTGACTAAGAGGAATGACCATGTCGACTGTGTTACTGTCCCGTCATTCTCCTGAACCCAGAATGGAAACTTCCAAGTGCTCTTCATGAGCTTACGTTTATTAGAAAACTATTCCTGGGTGTTCAAGATTGTTTTCTAATGAAAATATACATAATAAAAAAAAGAAAATTAATGACTCTTGGTAATCTTTTCCTTTCCTCTCTTCACTTGTAACACATTGTGAAATTCACCTCCTTTCTCATTTGTTTGCTACAATAAAATCACTTTCTTTCTGGTCACAATTCACACAGGGCCTTGC